CGATATGCTACAGTGAAACGGTGACTGTGCCTGATCGATTTCTCAATAATGTGACTTTAACATTTCCAACCACTGAGCGAGACAAACACGCCTACTCAACACAACTGTGTGGAAACAACACGAGCAGTGGTAAGAGAATACCAATTAAATGGATGTATCCAAATATTTTAAAAGCTTGCATCGAAATCTCGTACTAGTGGAACGGGATCCGCTCTCCTCTAATTCATTTTTTTTTCAATAGTAAGAGTTCTCATTACTAGTGAAAAAAGAGACTGGTTACCAAGTAACTTTTTTACAAGTAAGACATTCCATTTATTCTCTCTCTGGTAAAATGAGGATGTTAACTCATTTTTGCACAAGATAACTTCTTCAAGTAGCCCATGATCTAGGACGTGTTAACCACTTTTTCCACTAGTAAGACGTACAAATAACTATCCTACTAGTGAAAAATGAGTTATCACCCGAGTACCCCCTAGCTCATTTATACAAGAGTATGATAACTTATTGGGTTAAAAGTAGAAAAAAAGAACCACTATTCTAGCACCACTTTATGTTCTAATTCGTCTTTTCCCTCAGATAGTAACTAAAAAAAATGTGCTAAATAATCAGGTCTAAATCCTTGATACACTTAACAACGTATTCGTTCGTTTATTCGTTTATTTCGATACCCTTTAGTCAATGACTAATCTTCCAGGGTTCAAAACATATAAACATACAAACATTCTGACAGCAAAATTAAAAGAGAATAAACATACATAATCATTACAAATTATATACAGGTTAAACAAAACGATCATGGCTTAACTTAATATATACAACTTAACTTATGTACAACTGGTGAATGGCCTTTTTGAATTGATGCGAACTTGACAGTGTTTTGATACTGGGTGGCAGGGTGTTCCATATAGATTAATGGCGCGGTAGAGAAATGTTCGCTTTTTGCTGTTTGTTTTTGGTTTAGGGAGTTTAAAACATGCAAGAACTGGAAAATCTAGTTGAATACTTGTGGGTAGAATTGACGAAAACAATGGAGTTATTGCTGTTTTGGGGTTTGTGACTGTTAAGTATTAAAAAACATATTTAAAGTACTGATATTTAATTTCCAGCTGGTATCGCGCTGGCTGTCCGAAGGTGTACCGGGGATGTTCAAACTGGTGTCAGATGGGCAAGCCCAGAACTGTTGAATTGTGGGTTAGACTTGTCTAATCTTGCACAGGTAATACAACTTTATAATATTCAATAGAACATAAATTGTAAAAATAAAATAATATACTTTCGCTTATACTGGTATGCCCTTTAACTACGTAGAGTTTTTTTAAAAAGCAAATTTATGAAATCAAAATTCGATCATGATTACGACAATTGAAACGGACTGGATTGATCTTTTAATCATCAGCATTGCCATTATCATTTTTTATTTTTATATATCAATTTTATTGTATGTATCTAACTTTATGTATTTTATCTGTTTATGTATGTATGACACAGGACCCCACTAAAGAACAGTGTTACCACTGAGTAGTGCCTTCGGTAAAAATGGGTAAAAGGGAAAAATTAATAGAATAGAGAACTCTTGACTAAGAATGTGTTCAATCCATTTTCCAGATGACTGTAACTACCGACAATGTAGCA